AGTGAACATCTTGCTTAAATTCATTAGTAAAAAAAATGGATTTGGGAAATTCACATCTTGTCCCTACTTTGAGATTTTCCTTTATATTTTTTAGAGAGCGTAAAGAAACATGTGGAATAATTATTTTGCTAGTAACCTAGGGAGAAGTAGAGAATCAATTCACGCCTATGATAGAATTTGTGGTAGTAGATGTGCCAACTATCTACAATGCTAGCTTTGGTTGCCCCTTATTAAACACATTCAAAGTGGTCATTTCATCTCATCACATAGCTATAGATTGTCTAAAAGTGATCCAATTATCATGGTGTGAGCAATTTTGATGCAATCTAGAGCATGCTATGTGAAGGTTGTAAAGAATATGCAGGAGGAGATCTTGTAGCTTAATGTGTAGAAGCTGAGCAGCTTAGAAGCAATAGAAGTTTTCGAGGAAGTCGCTAAAGTGAAAAATGACATTGTCAAAACTTTTTTTCTTAGGATTAAATTTTAGTGTCAAACTAAAAAACAAGTTAATCGCTATCCTAAGGAGTGTCAATGTATTATTTTGATGTATTTTTTTTGGTGTTGCCGCCAATATATCCATTCCTAGGGGAGCCGACCTAAATCTATAAATATAGGGCAGGCTATTCTCCAGGCTGAGAGAGCTTCTTTATCTCTCTACCTTTAGAGTAGAAGAAATTGTACAAGTACTTATTTCTGTTTATTTCTTAAGAAGATTTCATCTATATTTCTATTCTTCTCCCTTTACAAGCCAACTATTAGTGCGAGACCATTGTTAATCTAGGATCCAATACGTGATATTATATATTGTCTTGATTGACTATCAACATGTTGAATGCTCTCAATGATTTATTGAGTTTTGATTTGATTGTTACATACTTCAAGTCGAGTCCTAATTTTATTGTTTGAAATTAGAAATAACATTCTAAAAAATAAATTTTATTAATTTCATCATTTGAGTAAAAATAAGCATTTATTTTAAGTTTTATATATTCTATTGATTATTGTGTGTGTGTGGAGAAAGAAAGATAAGGAGAGAGAGAACCTTTTTTACTATGGGTATTTATAACATGCACTTCAAACAATTAAATATAAAAATGAAAAACATTTTAATTGATTAAACAATCTACTCCCTTGAAATTAACTTATATACTTTTGCTTGGTGTAATCAAAATAAGTGCACTAACATTGTCAAGTTAGCCCTTTGGGTAGCATATGCAATTTAACTTTAATGTTTAATTTAAATTTCCAATATTAATAATGGATTTTTTTTTTTTTTTTTTTTTTTTTTTTTTTTTTTTTTTTTTTTGCAACAAAAACTTAGGTTGCTTGGAAGGAACTTAAAAATTATGTGATAAAGAAAATAAGTTCTTGAGTCCCACTTCTATTCTTTGGTTGCCAATGCAACATTTTGAGAAAATTATATCATATCATGAGCTTATAACAATATAAATTAAATTTTCTAGCTATTTGATCAAGATTAATAAGAAGCTCATGACCAAGAGAATCCAATGTTTAACTAGAAATATAGAATCGATTCACTGGTTTAGTCATTATTTCTGGACTCAACCAACCAAAGGATCAATTCATGGGTGAAGGAATTCCTAAAACCTTGGATTTAACTAAAGCTTGACTTTATTAACCATCTACTAATAATAGAATTATGAAGATCTGGAGTATAGAATATAAGAAGCATGCCATGTTAGACATTTCATGTTCTGATTAATTCATGCATGACTCATTCTTCCATTGATACTATAAAACATAAATCACACAATTCTTCAACATTACAACCACAATGATAACAAGAATGGACAACTTGCCAGTCCATCATTTTTTAGCATTGAGATGAACAATAGATAAGGAGAAGAAGTTCAAATACAAGCTGGTGCGTGAATGCAGGGCAAGTGAACAAAAACAATGGAAATAGGAGCAAGTTTAATCGGCGTCAAGCCATCAACTTCTATTGGTCTTAAAGTTGGTATTTTTCCATGGGAATTCACATCCAAAACTCTGCCATTTAGTAACACGGTTTGGCTGTGCAAGTTCCCATCTTTTGCACTCAAGTGGTACTCTTCCCTTGTTTTTTCAGAATGAGAGGCCCCATTTACGCTAACTTTTATATATGTTGTATTTCCGAGATCTAAGTTGAGTAAGAGAAGTGTTATACCTTTCTGTAAACAAAAAAAACACTTTCAGATATAAATGGATAAAATATTGAGGGAAGCACACAATGCCTATGGATTTACATATCTCACAACTAAACCTCCATATTTAGATACATAACATTTTGGTACTTTACACATATGCATGAAAAGGTGTACTTGACTTGTAAAAAGTGGTTATAATGTCATTTTATATGTGATATTGAAGATTTGAGTGCTATGTGTGTAACTATGAAAGTTCAGGTGTGAGATAGGTAAATACATGAGAATTGTGTGCTATGTATATAAATGCCCCAAATATAAATTGTATGGCAACTTGAAAGAACACATGAACGAACTGTTATGTAGCTTACATAATCTCTTGCACAATGAGCATAAGCCCTTATCTTCTTTGTTCCGATGAAATTGGTGGATAACACTTTTGGACCCATCAAGCGATGCCACAAAAGAGCGCTGCGATGAATAGAACACTATATTCATTAGAGTTGGGGACAATTGCTAATTTTTGTTCAGAGTTTAGTGTAACCATGAAGCATTAGTGCTACTTGATTGGCCATATTTGGCACTAATGAAATTGACAACTAGACGTTTTGAATTGTTTTAACATGTTGCAAGCCTTCAAGTAAAAACATTATTTTCAGGATAAGGGAGTAGTTGTTTTAAATCACTTTGTGTTTTTATGTTTTATTTTGTTTTATTTTTGTATTAATCCAACTTAAAAATATATATATTTGGTACATTAAATAAGAGTTTTAATTATTATCATTAATAGTATTGGATATTATATAAGGAGGTGACCATGGACGGCTATGGCAACTAGGGGCAATGGTGACAAGTGGCTAGCAGTGGCTTCAGTGTTTTTCATGTAACAAAATGGAAACCCCAAAAAACACTTAGAATTATTTTGAAAATAAAAATAAAAATAATAGAAAATACCCAGTAAACCCAAACAACTCATTAGCTTAGGCTAAACAAGGCATGACACAGCTTGCAAGGTCATTAAAAAATTTCAAGTTTTATCCCTTTATTTTCGCCTAGATGACTCAAGCCAACTTAAAGAATTTTTCAAAGTCTATTTGAGTGGCAATCAAGCAAGTACCAGGATTACAAGAATGAGAAATCATTCATATAATATATAGTTAATACAACATAATCTAAAATTAGAACCCTTATGAAATGAGTGTTTTAGTTTTTTGTACCAGATTATTCATCTACCTATAATAGTCTGGATTTGGTTTGAAGTTGCTGGTATTTAGTAGACCATAGTTTCCTCCTATCAAACTCTGCCTGCAAAAGACCTTTGTATTATAGGTCGCTGACATCCCAAGCTGATCCAAATACCTATTTTCAATACAAAAAGCAACAATTTTCCTTACTCTTCTTGTAGTATGAGCTAAACAATTATGAAAAAGAAAAAGAAAAAAACCACATACCAGAAGCTCGAAACAAATGAGTTAGTGACAAGATTACGACCACCATTATACGCTCCTCCAGCTTCACCAACCCATGGATTTACAGAAGAGCCAGCATTTCTTAAAATGATACTAAGGTTATTGAAAACTGATGCAGGGCCATCAAGATGTGAAGGGTCCAATATCTTTTCAACCAAATTATCATCAGTACCTATATTTTTGTATAGCATAAACTAAGCCAAAATGTTCATATGAGCAATCCTGCATCATTCTTATGTTGTTATAAGATTACCTGGACCTAGGATATACATATGGTGGGTTATTACATCCAGCGAGGAAGAAAGTTTTGTTAGTTCAATGAACTTGCTATACCATTCTGCTTCAAAATTACCACCAGGAGCAATTAGTAATGGCTTCATTGTACCATCCTTATAGAGCCCATCCATAACTTTCTTCAAAGAGATCATATCTGCTGCATATTGAGCTACACCAATACGAGCTTGAATTCCCTTCCCACTTAGCTCATTCCCTGAAGGAAAACATGATGAGAAAATAGAGTTAATGCTCTCCAAGTTATCCAATGTTAAACGAATGCAACGTTATATTTCTTCTGCTTGTTTGAAATGCAACGTTAAACGAATGCAATACAAAAGCAATGTATTGTATTTGAAATATTCGGAAGTTGTTTGGCTCACGGTAAAATGAATGCAGGACTTCATATTTCGTCTGCTTGTTTCGAAATAGATTGAAATCATTGTATTTTTAAAACATATAAATTTTTATTGGCAGGTGGCGGCCAGCGTCCTATTTATATTATTCCAAAACATTTTTGAACGCTCTAACGGTTTCAACAAATCTCTTTTATTATGCTTTTAAATAATTTCTATCCATCCCTTCATTTTAAAGTTTTTTCTCAATGTCAAATCCTTTTTTTTTCTTAAATCCAATAAATTCAATCACCTCACATGATATTTTAAGGCTTATTCAACAAAAGCTTTATAATGAAGTCATGTTAAAATAAAATGCTTTGATGTGAAGTTCAAGTATGATTCATATAAAACATACCAAGTTCCCAACCAAGTATATTATAACCCTTATTTGTGGTATAACGAACTAGGGATTCAGCATTTGTGTAATTCCATGGTCCTCCTAAGGAACCATCTTGCATGGGAACCCTTCCATTCAGAGCATTCAGGCCAAAGATGACTGAACTCCTACAACATAGAAAAGAATTATCTGGATTAACCTTTTTTTTCAAATATCAGGGCTGTTATGATGATAATATAATCTGTTACATATAACATATTTGATTCAATGATACATGTTAAGCACAACATACTTGTCTTGATATGGAGATGTGCAAAATCAATCTTTAAAATTACAAATGAGAGAAGAATCAGACCTAGATTTCTTGAAGAATTCATTAAGTTGATCCCATCTTGACATTGGCAAGCAGCCTTCATTGAATCCAAATAATGCAGAGTCATTCATGACAAAGGGGACACATGGGCACCCAAGATCACTACTTTCATACATGACTCTATCCTCCAGAGAACCTCCAAGACGAAGTTTTAAAGGAGAAAATGCTAAAGAGAAAATTTTTAAAAAAAATGGTGGGTAATTAGAAATATAAGTATGGATTTAAGATACCAAACAAAAAAAAATTTAAAATAAATAAATAAAAAGTAATATTCTTACCCTTCACAACATTTAGAAGAACACGGTTTGAAAGATTCTGCACGAAGTTAAATATGCAATATAATGTCAACAAATTACTGTAATTTACTCTCAATTCATACTCAAATAATATTTTTAGTGCATTAATATCCTCTGTCAAAATGTCAAAAAAAAAAAAAAAAAATATGGTTTATACTAGGGTTGTCAATTATGCCCT